TTTTTGTAGGTGGGGCTAGTGTAGCATTTGAGGTGCCTGGGAAGATGCCTGGGAAGATTCGAACGGCTGCCTTCGAAATCATTTTCGCAGGTGGTGCTTTGGTCCGCCTGCAAAAATTGAAGATTTTTAGCGTCGTTTGGATACAGGCGGAAAGTTTTGCCGCCTGCGAAAATGTGTTTTGACCACCTGCGAAAACCTTTTTTCTAGTAGTGGCTGCTGCAGCTTCACTAGTTCACTATGTGCACTATCAGCGCTGCTCTCAATGTGTCAAGCCATACGCATATTGGAGTATCGTCTTTATTTATGCTATCTATGCACTTCGTTTTATATCGTCTCAAGAGTATAACTATTGCTAGTATATGGTTGACACTACCATCCAATATGGTGGAGATAGAAAAAAATTGTGGTTGCAGACTGTAAGTTTTGAAATTTCAGCCTGAAATTGTTCTTTTATGGTCTAGCAAGCTCTACATATATACGTCACAGGGTGTCTTTGTGCTATGTTTATGCAAACAAAAAATCTTAAAAGAACGTGAAAATTCAGGTAGGAGAGGAAGAAAAGAAAGTCTCAAAAGTATTGAGATCCTCTGCTGTATTGCAAAGAACATGCGTTCGTCCCAAAAACTTGTAAAATCATTAAAAACTCTTCTCTTATTCAACGCTTTCAGCAAAGTTCACTCTCCTCAATTCTGCAGTATGTGATATGAGGAGCTTCATAGACTGCTTTGTATGAACGTTTTCTGCCAATTTTATAATTCTGATAACATCGGGCAGCCTTTATACATAGATACATATAGCACCCAATAAACAGTGAGTAAATTCACAAAATTACATATACTATGATAAATCTATCACAAAACTATAGATTTAACCACGTGTATCATAAAACTATAGCTTTCTTCACAATACTAGAAATTTAAGGTATCAAAAAAACTACAAATTAAACATCAGTTTTATTATAAAACTACTTTGTAAGCTCACTAGTGCTATGGATATGAACTTTAAAGTCTGTAGTTATTTGATAATTTCATCACTACATCTGTAGTTGTGTGATACGATGCTTTGTAAAATATAATAATTTTGGTGTTAAATCTGTGATTTTATGAAACACATCTTTAAATATGTAGTTTGGTGATAGTTTGGTCAAAGTATATGTAGTTTTGTAAAAAGAAAAAATACTCGTAAACAGTAGTGGAGATATCATCTTATAGTTTCATGCATTGTTGGTTCGAGACAAATAGCCTTACTGGCATAAATGGGGCCATTGTTGGTGCACCTCCTGGTTGCACTCATGATGCTATCGGGGAAGACTATGCAACCATGGACTTGACTCTCCTCAAATGACCACTCTCGATGTTAGGGCTTCCACAATGTACTTCAAAATTAGTCCATAGTCAATAAAATAAGTAAAAAAGTACTAATTACCCCCCTAACTATCGCGGTCGTCCGAATTACTCCCTAAACCCAAAAACCAGACATCATTCACCCTTAACTTTTAATACCGGACAAATTACCCCCCTCGACCCAATTTAGAGCTGTTTTGCCTACGTGGCGTATATGTGGCAATCCAGTCAGCATTTTCTTATTAAAAAAATGGTGGGGTCCACCTATCATCTACCCTCTTCCTCTTCTCTTCTCTCTCTCTCATCCACAAGTTGACAAGCGTGGACGACGGGGATGAGCGGCAGCTGGAGGAGGCGTGGCACGCGGAGGCGGCGGCGCTGGCGATGGCCGAGATGGAGAAGACAAGTGCCGCCCGGCCATGGAGGCGGCTGAGGCGGCGCAGCATGGCATGGCGCATGGCGGTGCGGGGAAGGCAGCGGAGGGCGGTGCGGCCGACGGTGGGCGCGGGCGATCGGCGCGGAACGGCACGGACAGGCAGGAGGCGGCGGAGAGGCGGGGACAAATGGGGATGGGCGGTAGACTCGTCGCCGGAGTAGACGAGTGGCTGACGAGTCCGTCGGCGGCGGACTCGTCAGCACCTTCAGCAGGATGTTGCGGTCGAGCAGGATGTTGGCCGGCTTGAGGTCGCGGCGCACGAGCGACTCCGGCTTGGTCTGATGGAGGAACAGCAGCGCCGTGGTTATCTCCGCCGAGATCCTGAACCGCTGGCTCCTCGGGATCGACGGGCGACGGCGTGCCGGAATCTTTTTTCTTTTTATTTTTGTCTCTGCCCGCTTCTGAATTTTCTGATCTGATTTGGCGCCGCGTTTTGGACTTTGGGAATGTGGTTATGTGCTGCATATGTAGTATATTGGTTTCTCTTTGGAATGTTGGGTAAAGAATTTTGTCGAGAGCTAACTTGCACACTTGTATATATGCATGGCCTTAATTTGCAGTCGATGGCTTGCATCATCAGTGATTTTGCAGCCGTCCACCGAGGCGCGGCGGTACCAGCAGCCGCCGCCGGCGTAGCTAGACACGTACGTGGTGCAGATGCCCAAGGTCAAGGTGTTCCGCGTCCCGCCGCCGGAGAACGCGCACCTCTTCCAGCACTACACCCGCCGCGCGCGCCAGGCGCCACGCCCGCTGCTCCTGCGTCCGCGTCTGCTCCTGGCTCCTCCTCATGCTCGTCTTGCTCATCGTCGCGCTCACGGCCTTCGCCCCCGTCGTCTACCTCGTGTTTAAGCCCAGGCAGTCGGACTACACGCTCCAGAGCGCGAACCTTCTCGTCGGCCTCTCGGCGTTGCGCCGCCGCTGCGCCTCCAGGTCGGCCAGCTGTTGCGCCGCCTCTCCGCCGCTGCCCGCCTATCCGCGCCGTTCCGCGCCGACCGCCCTCGCCCACCGTCGGCCGCACCGCCGTGCGCGCCGACCGCGCCGTCCACTGCCTTCCCCGCACCGCCGTGCGCCATGCCATGCTGCGCCGCCTCGGCCGCCTCCATGACCGGGCGGCACTTGTCTTCTCCATCTCGGCCATCGCCAGCGCGCCTGCTCCGCGTGCTGCGCCTCCTCCAGCCGCCGCCCATCCCCGTCGTCCCCGCTTGTCAGCTTGTGGATGAGAGAGAGAGGAGAAGAGGAAGAGGGAAGATGACAGGTGGACCCCACCATTTTTTTAATAAGAAAATGCTGACTGGATTGCCACGCGTACGCCACGTAGGACAAAACCGCTCTGAATTGGGTCGAGGGGGGTAATTTGTCCGGAATTGAAAGTTGAGGGGGGTAATTCAGACGCCGCGATAGTTTGGGGGGTAATTCATACTTTTTCTATAAAATAATACATTCAGCTACCTAACCACATTGTGGAAGTAGTTCATAGGAGAAAAATAGCCAAAGTCATCCATAAGCATATGAGCTGCCCATATAGAATAAAATATGTCATTTGTCTCTATTTCCTCTCTCCTCTTCCTACTACTTACTGCCTGTATACATTGTGAATATTGCAATAGTTAAAGTGTCCCATCTATATGTACTACTTTAGCTATATGCATTGATGTTGCCTTTAGCACGTCAACACGGATAAATTATTCTGATGGTTGTGTGCATCATCACTCGTACTCAACCGAACAGGCTTATATCGGAAAGGACGCGGCGGATTGCCACTACTTAAAAAAAAGCACATAGAGATCGGCACTATAGGTACCGAAAGTGCTAAAAATCGGCATCTATATTTTTTTTCTCACCTCTGTGGATTGAAAATACAAAAACTGACACATTTAAATAATTATATGTATTGGTTCTAAAGAAAAACTGGCATCTGAGATAATGGTTTTTAAAAAATAGAACCTTTAATATATTATAGGTGACCATTAATTAAAAACTGACAACCCTAATATATTATAGGTGTTGGAATTTTTTTTTAAAAAAAAGGCACTCCTAAAATCGAGTCGAGCCGAACACCGGTGGCCTCCCGTCCTTCTCCTCTTCTCATCTCTCTCTTCTGTCATTATTCTCTCCTCCTTTTTCCTCCACTGCACCCTCTCCTCTCTCTCTCTCTCTTGGCTCTCTCTCTTTATCTCTCTCTCAGTCCCCCTCCCCCCCTCTCTCTCTCTCCATCGGTCCCCACCGACCCGGCGTAAGTAGCCTGACGCGGCGCCATCCACTCCGCCATTCAGAGTTCTGAACTCTGAACTCCATTTTAGTTTTTCGCTCCTAACACTGGCTCCGTCCCTAGCCACGCCGCTCGCTACTTTCCTCCACCGCCGATGTCTCTATCCCCACCCACCCCGTAGCTTCGGTAGCCTCATCAGGGACAGAAGGGCACGAGAAAGACGGTGAGGAGAGGAGGCAGATGAGGCCAGCGACGCTGCCGCCGCCGCTCAAAGTATCCAGATCCGAGATGTCCTCTTCGATTCCTCCTGCTTTCTCTCGGCCAGCATCACCTTGTGGCTATCAGATCTAGCGACAGTGAGTTCGGAGGTGCCTAATCCAGCAGCCCACCCTGTAGCCACTGAAGAAGAGGGTGAAGTCCCTCAGGCGGCTAGAGGTAGAGCAAATATTGTTTTCTTATGAAATTTTTGGGTTTGTTTTCTTAAGCTTCGGTTCTTGTTTTTGGCTTATGGTGTTATCCGATTTGGTCATATTGAAGCTATGAAACTTTACGAGGATTTTGTTGTATTAACGGATACAACTTGGTTTCCTTTTCTCCTATTCTGAGTTGGTTTTCTTTTCTCCGATTCTGAGTATGCAAAGAACAACTGGGATTCAAGGAGGATGGCATGACACGCTCGATGGAGAAAGACGTACACGACAGATGAAAACATATTAGTGGATTCAGGGACAAGACAACGGCGTGATGCGCTCAACGAACAAAGACGTACCACAACAGATGAAAACATCGGCATGACGCGCTCAATAGACAAAGGCGTACCGCAACAGGCGAAAGCGTATTAGTACCATTGGAAAGTTACAAATGTTTTTAGTAGTTAAGATAAGAAATTGAGGTTCGGTTGGCAGACGAACCTCAGATTTATGCTCCAACGGACACTTATTTGTCACCTATTGAGGCTTATTTCAACTCCTTCCCTCATTTTCACTCAAGTTAGTAACAGAAAAGATATCCGTTGTTTGAGTAATTTCCGCGCTCAACTACTCCCTTTCTCTGCAACAAGTTATAAGCTTATCATTCTTACATGGCAACAAGCCAACAGCAAAATCGCTGAGGATGAATACCAATGTCATACAAAAAATTGTGTTGGAATTGACAGCAAGTGAGACCAATCGAATGGAGAATATATCCACATCTACAAAATTGTTACTCTAAAGTGAAAGCCCTTCTGGGTTGTGTGCTTCAATGTCAACATGTTTAATCCCAGGCACAATCTTTTGGATCTCTGACTCCAGCCGATCCACTTCATACCCAAGAGCTTCGACTACATCCTCACCTGTACAAGCAGTGTTTTTCAGATAGAGATAACAAGCATAAATCCCTTATTAGAGCAACATATATATATTGCATACCGTAGTTAGACATGACCCTTATTAACTCCGTATCATCCTTGGACAATGAAGCCTCCCGGAACTGTAAAACGGAAAAAGCAAGAAGCTCAGGGATGTAGAAATAATGCAAAACCAAAACTGGGTGATCATAATGTCCTATGTCCAAAACAGCACACTCTCCTGACAAGGTAGAGTATTCTGTCTCGCCTGTCCTCTCCTCCTCAAAATTGATTTAGGACATGAGGCTTCGAATGATCATTCGTTTCCTCTACATGTGTGTGCAGAACACAAGAAAATCTCACGACAAAATGAGGACTTTTCATTCATTATACATCTTTAAATTATTTAAATACTAGTTTAAGAGTTTTAAACACTGAATTACATAATTCAAGTGATTTTGACACTGCAAAGAAAAGGCGAGGGAAAACAAGTCAGGTGTTAAGACTTGAACTCACAACTACCATAGACATAAGGTCTACCATTAGGGCACTTGAGTACCTAAAATCTCATTAAAATCTTGTGCTACAAGTACAAAAATCACTTATATTGCTAGCATGAATATTGAAATCTTGAAAGTAATTATTAAAATCATCAAAAACAAGTACCAGAGATAATTAAAACCATGAGAAATAGCTTTTAAGTGTACTTGGGGATTCGGGTTGTATAATGTTCACTAAACTCATGTGTGGCAAAGTAAGCAAGTAAAAGGCATCGGGGGCAATTTGAAAAAGCAGTGACTTATGGAGGGTTTTATATTTTTCTTCCAATTTCCTATTAAGGCTAAACAGCAGTAGAAAAATATCAGTAACAAATATCTAGTATAGTTGTAACTTGTAGGTGCTAGAATAATATTTGTGTTGAGCACGCAAGTTAAACCCAAACACTAACTTATAGCTGAAAATTTAGCTAGCATTTGAATATATCAGCTACAAGGCATTACGTACAATTTAAACAAATATAGCTGATGAATGAGCAGTTGTTTCACTAAATTAGCAACTGAGATATACCCCGTACAAAAAACAGCGGCCAGCAACCACTAACACTAATCAAACTAATTTTCAGAGGAGAAGAGCACCTGTTTTGCCCATTCTCCACGTCCAGTCCTTTCCAAATAATTCTGCACCAGGACTACTCCATTGAAATCTATGAGAAGATTAGGCCAGAAAATTGTCAAGAAAAGAGCCGTAAGGGAGTATGCGAGGTAAACAAAATAAGAAAGTAACAGGACTGATGTTATAGATGAGTTCAACAAATCAATAAGCAATGTTAATGGGAATAGTCACTTGCAGACACATTACACCAGCTCACATGAGGAAAAATCCCTGTGGGCACTTGCTATCATGGGAATTTCAGATAGTTCTAGACTCAAGTAACACAACACTACAACAGTACATTAATTTATCATCTGAATTGGAGCCAAGTCATGAGTTAGATTAACGAAGAAGTATACCATATTAGTAGTAAGAAATACAGTAAATGGTTAATAGAAGGTACAACAGGTCTCTGCACATGAATAAAACCATCTTGATCATTTACAGATCACCAGTTCATCTCACAGAAACAAGATTGACTGTAATAAGTGCTCTAGTATGACTCTTTTAAACAAAAGGTAGGCTTAAGAACAATGGATATAATCATAAATGAAGACGTCTCAAACTAAAAATGACATGCATCACAAGTACTAACTGAAAATGACGACAAAAATAAAATAACTGCCTTAAATTTGGAGAAAGCCAGATTATAAGAGCTGTACCAATTTCAGCTTTGAATCTAAAGAATCCTGGTCCAATCACCTCACTTTTGCAATCATAAAGAGCATCTACAACCTGCATGATGCAAGAAAATCAGCTCCATAACATAGATCCAGTGTGCGATATGGAATAAGGATATCCACAAATTTTCACCGGATCAGCCTTCAGAAACTCAAGAACACGCTGCATGTCATGATCATCAATAGCCCTTCCAATTAAAGCATGCCTGTTTCTCTGGATTAGAAAAATAGCAACCTACAGAGAGCACAATAGTTTAATTTGGAACAAGGCATGGACAGGGATGAGAAAATTGGAGAAGCAAATCATCAGCAAACTCATATGAGTACACCTTTTGCACTGTGCACAATTTTGGTGATTCTTTGGCAATAGACTTTTAAAGTTCTTGTTCAATTTGGGTGGCATTTCATGAAAACAAGATTGGCTAAAGCTGGTTTTCAGTCATTAGTGTTTATGTTTTGACTTTTCTGAAAATCAGGAAAAGGTGGTCTTACAGAAAAGAATGCAATTATATGCTTTTAGAGATCTCCATGTTGCCCCAAACCAATGGAGACAAGATTTAAGGTGGTTCAAGCTAGAAACATGTTTAACCAAATCTAGTATTATCAGAACTGTCTATCCAAAATCTCCTTTAAGACTACAGCTCTGTATGGTAAACCATAAATTGTTCCAGGCAAACAACAGCCACATGCATATCTGACCTGCTTACTTTTTAGAGAGAACTTCCTTGGGAATTGGACACGTCATTTTTAAGTTTAGGAGGAGTTGGGTACTACTGCAGATTATAAGCAGTAAGTGTTACCTAACAGTATCGACTGTATACGTGATACCTGAGTACCCGACAACCCATTTATGGTTCCAATTATGTAACAATATACAAATGAATTAGGCTTTTTTAGATTTTAGAAACACACAAAAACATGGATAGCATCCACAATTTTAGTATGAGCAGAATACAGAATATCTGAATAAAATATACTTCAGAATAGATGTAGTCAACATACAAGAAATACACATCAATAAACAAATCTTTACTGGTAGCTATGAATCTTTTGGTCTTGGGGTTTCACAAACTGCTGATATCTGAACATAGTGCTCATCTGTTATGATAGCCAAAATACTGTTTTATCTTGCATAGAAATAAAAAATGAACAAAGCACCATTTGGCCCTTCCTAGCATAGTTGATGGGCATTCGATGAAGTGTAGACAGCAACAATAGAAATGCAAGAAATAAGAAGTTTAACAAGATAAGTGGGATAAAAGATTTAGATTGTCATAGTTTATTTAATTATAAAGAAACGAGGACATGATATTTGTGTCAGACTAAGGGGTATACATGTATCCAATACCAAATGACCATTCAATAAGGCAGAAAACAATTGAACAAATATTCCGTTACATCAATTAGTCACACATAGCAACAGAATATAAGCCAAGAAAGATAATAGAATAATATGAACCGACTATGTTAACATACCATTCCCAGTAAGTTGCCAACAATGATGGAGCCAATTGGATCATACATAGCATTGCCTGTGGTTTGAACAGCCACCAAAGATGCTCCAGCAATTGCAAGACCTGTAACAGCAGCACCATCCTGTAGGACATTATCAGGGCATGAGAAGGAAATCAAGTAGAGGAATAGCAGGTGAGTGGTAAATGAACAAAACATTTATTGATATGGCATCACCATATGATACTTATGAGCAACTGAAGCAGTCATCAACTGTTTTAGAAACAAAATTTCATTTCGACATGAAAAAAAAAAGTATTGAGGTAGTCTAGAACACATCACTCACTTCAGTCATGACAGCAACTGAAGTTGGATCATGACCACGCCAGATGTAGTCCCTGATACTCATTCCTTCTGCTGCTGCACCCTTCCTAACAGCCTTTATAGCAACCAGCAGTGAAGCACCTAAGAGGCAATAGGGTGACTCAATTATAACAAAGTAAAGACATGGTTAGAATGTCATGTAGCAAGCATGTAATACCTTCAATTAGGAAGGACCCACCAATCACTAATGCAGCATAGTGGATGTTCTCAGGGGGCTGTCAAATAAATGTGTCACGATATAACAACTGTAGTTAGGTAACAAAGATTTTCTAATAAGATGGAGTGCATGTGTAAAATCTTTTGGTGAATCAAATGATACATTTGCATCATACTTGCGAATTCCATAAGTTTTGAACTCCATGCACAATGGTAGCACCTGAACCCAAACAAAATATTCCAACTGCAGATATCAAGGACCATACAAATCTTTCTTTTGAATAACCATAGCTGCAGAAAGAGAAATTAAGACATGGGGCAGGCAGCATGTCAGTTTATGGCATATCACAAATAGCCTTACCACTGATTCTATTGTGAGTAGCATTTAGTGGTATACTGGCATGACAATGAATAACAGGATTCCCTGTTTATCTTCAATTCAAGACAATTTTACTCTGGTGAAAATAACTGATTTTCCATGCAGAAATGGGACTAAATTTATGGTACAGAGAAAATAACAGTAATGAAAGAAAGTGATATTTATATGTCAACAAAGCAGCATTTCCAAATTGACAATCGATACATACGGGTGTAGAGCATCTGGAGCACGTCTTGAGCTGCTCAAGCCATATGCAAGAAGAGCCTGATGTTTAATCAACAATTAAGCCCTGGACATGAACCTTCAACAAAGCTTACAAAAAAAGATAGCAAAAGTAGAAGCATCAACTACCTGGTTAGCGAAGTCTGCAACTGAGTGCACTAGCTCAGCTAGCATAACATGACTAGATGTTGAAAGCCATACACCAAACTTCAACGAAAAGACAAGAAAATTACACCACAGTGCTGTGTTAACCGCTCGATGGCTGAGATCACATTCCATTAGCATCAACATGAAACAAAATGTAATAGGTAAGCTTGTGAACAATCCAAATATGTAATGATTAACTAATCGTAATATTGGACATAAATCTGGCAACATATGCAATGAAGAACTAAAATCGAATACTCTTCTTGCCGTTGTTTTATTTTACCACATGGACAAAAACATAAAGGGTTATGTGCAACATGTTTTTATCAGTAAGCATCAGGAAACATATTTCACTTGAACCGTACAGAATAGGTAAAGTACTCCACAATCCTTTCCTCTCAAGCTTACAATAGTGCTACATCCAATCCCCCTCCCATTGCTATCAATGTCATTGTGTAGGACGATCACGAATAACATTTATGTCCAATCACATTATAGAGCCAAAAGCATTTCTGACGCATATATTCCTTGAACACTCACCCCTTCAACTTCAATCAGATAGAAGGTATCAAGTAACCAGAGCACACCTTTTTATTGCAATGCTTCCAATATATTAAAAGTAAACTAACAAGATCATACCTTTAACCCGAAAATCAATACGACTGCAGGACTGAAAGAAGGTAACACGCTAAGTTGCTTGCACATTGCAAATAGAAGACGTACTACACACGAAGCTTAGCACGCCATACAAAGGTTCTAACTTGAGCGGGGGAAAAAATGGGGCATATCCGTCTCACCTGTGCTCATCGTCAAAGTGCGCCTTCTTCTTCGCCTTGGCGACACGAAGAGAATAACCTGCGCCACAACAACAAGAAGAATACGCAAAGAGAGAACCTAAGAAGCCCGCAACAACGAGGTGAGAGAGGAAAGAGGGAAGGTGAGCGAGGCACCCAGTCTTACTGCGGGAGAGGGTGAGCCGTACGGGAGGCGCGTCGGCGACGGGGCCGCGCGGCGGCGACGGGGCCGGGGGGAGGGCCCGCGCCCGCGCCCGCCACCGGCTTAGCCCTAGGACCCCCGAGGCGAGGAGCGGGCGGGGCGAGAAGGGAGGAGGGGGCGACGGGTGGTCGTGGTCGTGGTGGTCGCCGCTGCGGCGGGAGAGGAGGAGGAGGTGGTGGAGAGGGTAGGGCGAGGAGGGGAGGCGGGGGAGGGAGGAGGAGGATGAGGAGGAGGAGCTAGACGAGGAGAGGAGGCGGAGGCGGAGGGCCGCGGCGGCGGCGAATGGGCGGCGCATTTAGGGGTAGGGGTGACGGCGGCGGCGGCGAGGCTGCTGCTGCGGCGGCCGCGGGCGGGGCGCGGCTTCCATGCGAGGGAAGCGATAGAAAAAGGAAGCGGGGGGAGTTTGGGCTTGGTTGGGGCGTGGAGAGTGGAGACGGCGATGGAGTGGACGGTGGGAGAGAGCGATGGACCCGACGGTGGGGTGGAGCTCGTGGACGCTAGGGTTGGGCCAATCTCTGTCACGACTTCTCTTCCCGGACAACAGCTGCCATTTCTTGCCGAGGGCCTATTTGGAGAGCCTCCTTCTCTCGGAATCAAAACTCTAGATTTTTTTTAGAAGTTAATACTTATAGAATCCAGGAAATGAAATTAAGATTTTTTTATTCTCAGAAGCTTAAGCTCCTCCAAACCGGCCATAAAACTTATAACTAGTGTTTTACTACGTATTTATTTACCCTGTGATAAAATCTGATTTATCCTGAAACGTGATATTCCTAAAAGTTTTATCTTGCGTGATAAATACGTGACTCTTAAATAAACACATGTACTAATTGCATGTTTGTTCGGATACTAACTTTACCATAATCCCCCTGAAAAAAAAAACATAATCCAACTTACCAAAGATAAAAGATGGGACAAACCCACACAAATTGTGACCAACGACAAATGTAGCAATGTTTGGCTAAGAAATGAGCCTATGACATGTGGGCCAGTAAGTTAGTAAAGTATGGTTTGTCACAGATATAGCAGTTAGTAAAGTATGGCTTGTCAAAGATATAACAACCAACCAAATACTTACTTTAACTAAAGTGTGTGGTACGTCTAATGTGTGACGTGACAAACTATGGCAACAAAACCAAATAGGTCCTAAGCAGGGTTGGCCCTGCACTTAGGCGAGTTGTGAGACCGTCTAGGGCCCAGAGCGGAGGGGGGGCATCACCAACCCCATCCCACCCCCATCCTAGCCTAATTGATACGGGTAAGGCTTCCTCTTTCACGTCGCTTCCTTTTTATCCCCGATTTGCTCCTTGACCGTGACTTCGCTTTGCACCCATTTGCACCATCTCTCCATCTCTATGCGATAAGCAGGCAACATCAGTGAGAGTCGGCAGCAGCGACCATCAGGAAACCCACAACTTGCCCCTTGCATCATGGTGACTGCACTAGGTATTCTCATTGGCATCTATAGTCCAAAATTTAGGTTAGTTTTATTTTGTTCTTGATGATTAATCTACTATGTAATTTTAGGTGTTAGAATATTTCATAAGGAGCATCTTTCAGTACTCACAAAAGGGAAAAAAATTGCATCAAGAAATGAGACATTGGATATCTGTTATCCCCAATTCAAGGTATTTGTACTATTTGGTTTATTTTTCATGTTATACTATCAATATTAATTATAGAGAACGGAATATTGTATTGCAATTATTTGGTTTATCATGTAGTAATATTGATTTTGTCACTTTGTAGAGGATGTATGGCTTATAAAATATATTTACAAGTACAAGAATATTTAGCCCTAAAGGCCTTAACGTTGGGTTCACCGTTCGCCTAGGACCCTCCAAACTATAGAGTCGCCCTGGTCCTAAGGTCCACATATCATCCTCTCATGTTTTATAGATCACATCCAAGCAATGATTATCGCGTAAAACCCTTCGACACCCACGTACAAGATTCCAATCACATAGTGGATTACCAAGTCATTGATGATTTGTATGTTACATGTGTTGATTTCTATGGAGTAATATTAAGAAATTTACAAAACCCAATGTTTTTATGCTGCTAATGTCCTAGTCCCTACATATAAGTATTTGTGAATTTTTCTCTGATTAACATAACAAGAGGAGGTAGCGCTGAAAGTTAATAAAAATATGTGTGTTGCAAAAAAAAATATACCTAACAAAATGGTAACAGATGAGGACAGTGGAGAAGCAAATGTTGCTATGAAGAAAGCAAATAAAGGTTGCAACAAAAGTAAAAACAACAAAGTATAGTACTTACTTTACCTTTATCAAAGCTACTTTTTTTTTTGAAAGGAATCAGCACGAGACTGTGCTATTTCATTAGATATAGGCGTAAAAAAATACAACCCCTAGGGGCAAAAAAAAGAGCTGTACAAATTACATAAGCACTATGATTAAGCTGGTAAGAATTCTTCAAGTCGCCTTGCGCCTGCTATTATCCAGGTTCTTGCCTCTTCCTTTATTTTTGCCATAAGGTTGGGGGCCGCCGTTTCCTTGTGCTCGAAGATTCTTTGGTTCCTTTCTTTCCAGATTTCCCAGGCTATGAGTAGGATTAAGGATCGCAGCCCTTTCTTGGGCACTTCCCTTTTGTTGGCTAACATTTCCCACCATTCGTGTATGCTTTAGCATGGCTCCCAATTGCTCGGATCCAATTGTTGATAAGCCACCCAGTTGGCCGTCAGTCTCCAGATCCTTCTGGTGTATCTACAGGAAGCTAAAAGGTGGCATGCCGTCTCGTTCGTCATACGGCATAGGGGGCACACTCCGCTATTTGGCCATCCTCTTGTAGCTATGTCACATCCTGATTTTCGTTTTAGGATTTATAAATTATTTAATAAATTATTAATAGAATTTATATTAAATGTTCTTTAATTTACAAGTGAAGTTAAATGTGGGAAATAAAATTTCCTAAATATAAAGCATGGATGGATTTAATTTTTATTAAATTCTCCATGATTAAGTCAATTCTCTGAAATTTTCTCGGATTTTTCGGAGCTCAATTCCTAAATGCTACAAAGAACAGTTCAGTAATTACTTGATCAATAATGATCTAATTATAATTGTTAAGTGCTTTTCTTGTTTAAAATCCTTAAATTATAAATTGTTGTTTAAAAGGAATTATTAGAAATGATCTTAAAAGCCTAAAAGAGAAGATCTAATTTTTAATTTGTTAAATCTCAATATAAAATTGGGCTAGATAAAATTTTGTTAAATACTTTGCTTAATTCTATAATTCCTAGATTTTTCTGGGATTTATTTGAGCTAAGGAAGTATTTTTAATAAATGGAATTGCATTTCATGAATAATTTAAATTGAAAAAGGTTTTTAAAAGTCTCTTTTGGCTTTGGGCCGAAAGCCGGCCCAAAACCTCTCTCTTTCTCTCTCCCTCGGCCCAGTCCGGCCCAGTCCGCCGAGCCGCCGCTCTCTTCTCTCTCTCTGTCGCTGACAGGTGGGCCCCACCTGTCGGAGCCGTCTTCCTCCTTCGGCCGCCGCCGCCCGAAACCCTAGCCGAGCCGCGCCGCCGCCGCTTTCCAATTTGGCCGCGCCTTTCCTTCTCCGGTGAAATCGATTGAAGGGAAATAATCTCCTCGATCTCCTCTTCCTTTTCTCTTATAGAAACTCCGGTCAATTTCCTTTGGAAATAGGCGGATTCGAGTTTAATTCGGATTCGTTTTTCCCCAACCTTTCCATCCCGCCGCCGGTCGCCGTGGGCCTCCGCCGCCGCCTCCTTGCCCCTTTAAAAGCACCCCCGGTGTCTCCGCTACCCGCCGCCTCTCTCGCCTTCGCCCGCCGTCGTGTGTAGCGCCCTAGCCTCGTGAGCTTTTGCGCCGCCGTCGCCGCCGTTCGTTCAGCCGTGCGCCGCCGTCGCTACGGTCGTCGTCGTCACTCGGGAAGGCCACCGTCGGGATCGCCAAGTCGTCGCCGTCCCCGTCCACCGCTTCGCCGCCGCTAGAGACCGCCGGAGCACCGTCGCCGCCGTTGACCCGATCTTCTCCGCTGCTTCGACCTCATCGCCGACGCCGTCCGTTGCTCCTCCGCCGTTGCTTTGGTCACCGGTGAGTTCGCCGTGCCGTCCGCTACCCGTGGGTGCTCTCCGTTCGTGCCGTCGTGCCGTCGTTCGCCGGCGAGCATGTGCGCTTGAGCCGCCGAGTTGCCGCCGGTGCTGACGTCATTGCTGACGTCATCGCTGACGTCATCGTTGCCGTTCCCCGTGGCCCGGTCGTGGACCGTTTGATCTCGGCCGTCCGTTTTGGATCAAGTCGATCTCGGCCGTCCGTTCCCGTAAACCGTTGCCGTGCACTCGGTCCACCGCAAACCCTAGCCGCTGACGCAATAATCCTTCTTTTCCTTTTCAAAAATAATTCATTATTGCGTCATAATTCAATAAAAATCCATATAAGTGTTTTAATCCGATTTAATCTTTAAAAATTCATAACTAATTCATCTTAACTCAGTTTAATGTGGTTCAAGTTGCAAAAGTTGTATAAAATAAAGATCTACATATTAAAATTGTCCATAAATTGAATTAAATTTATTTAATTCTTTTTAAATGGGCTTTAAATAGATTTAATCTTGTAAAATTCATAATAAATTCAGTTGAAGTCAGAATGAGGCCGTTCAAGTCTCATAATTCATCTAAAATTATAATCTACATGTTTGTTTACTTTTTATGTATTGTTTATTTGGTTTTTATTAGTCTTTTCCTTGTTTTGCGTGTTAGCTTGTCGTTTCCGTCGTTGCGAAGGTTCGCGAGTGCGCCGGAAGTATTCAAGAAGATTAATTGAAGACCGATTATTGCAAGGCAAGTCACACAGATCCTAAACACAATCCTTTGAGCATGTTGATCCTATATTTAAATTCTCTATTTATTTCAACTGTGCATTTATTTTCGAATGTCATTGGGTGGAATTAACCTATTCTTTGTTATGGCCCTTTTGTTCTTGATTACTTTATTCCTTGATACCTTGGGTGATTATAATTGGACTAGTTGAGCTTTATATATATTGGTTCTACTAGATATTAGATATAATTGCTTAGCCATGCTTAGAAACATTAGCACACTATTGGGATAACTTATGACTCACTGTTATTTAATGATGGCTTAATGGTAGCTCACGATGGTTAATCGTGTTATGATAATTAATTGGTAATTAAAATATGATTAATGGTGGGTTGTGAGCACATGGTTTTGAGAGTCGTGCTCATGACAATTAAGGACCGGTTCGCGAGCTACTATTGTGAAACATTAACCGTGCCAACCACAAGCCAGCGTGGGCAACGGCTTTACCTTTTGTATAACATGATTCATTGCGGAGCACCAGACTAAGAAGTGGCGGAGATAAGCCCACGGGGGTCGCTGGGGAGTCCATGCCTCTGGTTTTTGAGGGGGTGATTATGATCCAGGAATGGTGCACTGTGGTG